ATAGGTTTGAATAGAGATCATCCAATTTTCAGACAGTGAAATCTTAGTGTTTAGGGGTCCAAAGGCATAATTTTTTCATTGAAAATACGCATATGGTGATTCTGAAGTGGAAAAATTTCAATTCAAATAAATCCTCCTAAGTTGGTCTTCTTGCCTAAGGGATCAAGTATAAAATCTTCTTTGGCAGTGAGGATGCCCCTCTCGCTCTCTCTCTCTCTCTCAACCCCACCATGCATTTACATAAGTTTGCTGACATGAATTCATATTACAAGTACCTATGCCTTTGCCCGTAGATATGACTTGGAGATGCATATGGTCCATCAAAGATCAGATGGACGAACAGCCGTAGTTGCAGTGATCTATAAAGTTGGGCTGCAAGATCATTTCCTATTGAAGGTGAGTGACTGAAAATACTAATGCCTCTCTGGTTTTAAGTGGGCCATGGGATTTTGAGTATTTACTTGTACTAATGTTTCTGTGCGTTGGCTGTTGGAAGGTGACGGATGCGATTGAGGATATCACTGATAAAACAGGGTCCGAAGTGAAAGTTGGATTAGTGAACCCGGAAGATGCCATAGATTTGGAGAGAGAACCATACTATAGATACCTTGGCTCCCTCACTACTCCTCCCTGCGATGAGGGAGTCATGTGGACTGTTATAAAAGAGGTAAACATACCCAGAGGAGACTATAATTGCTTAATTGACATGCAACATGCACTTTTATATGAACTTAGAGCCAAGTGCATGTAGATAAGCCTAGCAATGGGCTGTGCAACTCAACCCAGCCAAACCGGAGCCCTCGTATATGTGACCGATCAGGCCAGGGCTGGTCAAGGGATTTCATAGCTTAGCTCTACGTTGGCGGCGTACAGCGTGTCATGGCCTAGATTGCCTAGTGGCCCAGGCCCAGGCCCAGTCTTTAACAAGCCTTCTTATCACATTGTCCACTCACCCTCAAAATCCCAGCCACTATCCACTTTATCACTTTCTAAAAGAATGAACACTTTGCCCCCCTGTTTTCGGACTACCTCTTCCCTTGTCTCAAGGGAGAATTAGTAGTAGTACATTTTTTTATAGAAAATGTTGTAAGGTGATGTAAAAAAAGGAAAATTTAAAAGATGAATTATGTTATATTTCAGTATTGTTAATTAATTTTAAAATCTAATTAAAGGGCAGATAAAGAACAACTGGTATTTTATGTGTGATTTGATAAACAAAAAAAAATATGTTGAATACGTGATAATATAGAAGTGATTTCATAAATACTCGTGAAACTTAAAAAGTAATAAGATCATCTCATCTCCACCCTTGTCACAACATATACTACCTTCCAGCTTACAGTATTTGCTCCTACCTAAGCTATGAATTATGTGAGGTTTCAGTTGTGGAGATGGGGCATTATTGGTGATCGATCTTATATTCATCGAGAAAGGAGCTGTTCTTTTTTTGTGTGTGTCGTAATTTGAAACTTAGATCCCCCCAAATAGCCTTCAAGTTGTTTTAAAGGCAGTCCCCTCTTATTAATGGCCAAAGTCGAATACTTCTCAATTTTCTTTTGCCTTATTGTAGGTGAAGACGTTCTCGAAAGAACAACTGGAAAAGCTGAGGGCTGCTGTTGAAGATGTGAGAAATTTCATTTAACTCGTACTTTTATCACAAAAATAAAATGAAAAATACTATAAACTGATGTTACTTGTTCGTCTATTTGTGACAGGGATTCGAGAACAATGCAAGGCCAATACAACCCCTGAACCAGAGACAATTATACATCTTCAACAAGGAGCGGTAGAAAGTGAATCAAATATTATTTTTGTAATATTTTTATATATATTAGAAGTTCAAAATAAGTTATGGGTAGGTCTTTTTGCGCGCATTGAGTGATATATAGTCACAAATACGATTGTTGGTGTCCACAAGCGTGTAATGAATGCAAAGCTTTGATTTCAAGAAGTTAATACCACCTGGCACATGAATTAAAATCATAATGTTCAATCATAATGTCGTGCAATACTTTGATTTCAAGAATTATATATGATGTAAGGGTGCGGTTTGTATAGAGCAGAGGCTCTAAACAATCAAAGTACAACGCACTTTCAAATAGTGTCAAGAAATACGATTTCAATATTGGACATCTTTGTGATCGCTTTAAAATATATTTTTATCTTTAATTATAAAATTTAAAGCTTAAAAAAAATGTAGATCTATTGAAAATTAACAATAAAAAAATGTGTTACAAGATGCACTATTTTCAAACCTTGAAATCCATTTTTTTCTCATATCTATGCATCTTGATATCAAGATGATCAATTTGAAGATATTTAGACATCAAAACAACATCTTCCCGTGAAATTTTTGAGGTTTGCTCTAATTTGATTGTTTAGAGCAGCCCTATATAATCGTTTTCCATATATAATGGAGTGGTGGTAAATTAGAGGAATGTATACTAAAATGGTTTGATTTTGAACCCTTTATTGAGCACCTCAACAATTTTTTATTAGTTTTATAATTAGATTTACTTAGAAGGTGACACTTGTTGAATTGTATCGAAATGCAATACAAACCAGAAAATGCGATATCGTGGTTAAAAAAGTACACTGCCACTGGATTATGGTACAAACAATGTAACAAGAGCTATTTATTTAAAGGGTGCAGTTGGCATATGGATGCATCCGTAGGTGTACAGGTAAGGTGTAACTTCAAAGTATATAATTGTGATGTAAAATGTTTTAAGGATTATCTTAAAATTTATTTTTATATCTAACTATAAAATTTTAAATTTTCAAAATGGTTAAAATAAAGTATATCTATAAACATATGAAAATCTTGAAAGTGGATGGCGTAGATAATATGTTTTAAAATGCACTATTTCTGAGACTTAAAATCTTTTTATTTTTCATAGTTATACATCTCGATGTTGAGATGATCAATCAAAAAAAATTTCAACATTAAAACTACCTTTTTCGATGGATTTTTTAGGGGCATCCATGGTTTAACACTATAAAGTAGCATCCTTATATAACCGTTTTCCTTCTTTAAATATTTCAAAAAAACTAATGGTCATACATCACATTTGATCCCTTAGGCAAAATCCTGGTTATGAGTACTATAGGACCCAAAATTTTGAGGATGTGACCTACTCGGAATAGTGATCAACATAAAAAATGAAAAGAAACTTAAATACCCACCCTGGAGCCACAAGAAAAAATGACATGTTAGAATTGCAGACCAACTATTCCAAAGGTTTAAGACTTTTGTTTTTCCTTCCCAGGCCGAGGTGAAGCAATTTGTGTTATATATATATATATATATATATATATATATATATATATATGTGTGTGTGTGTGTGTG